TTTTGCATGTACAAGTTGCCTTAAATTTCAACTTTTATTCATGTATGTGTATTATATTTATGGAAACATTTGTTTATATAGATGTATTGATTATTGTTAGTAGAATGTTTGTATGTTCTTTGTGTAGATTTGTATAACGGCACTTAGGCAAAAGCATACCTACTTAATCATACAAATGAGTTGTCGCAGATTGCTCTCGTTGCTACATTAGGGATCTCTTTGCACAACACCGGTAGAATTTTGGCATAACAGTTTGAATCAGTCTTTCGAGGACTATTTCAGTCGCGGTGTCTAACCGGAGTACACATCCCCACAGGAGAAGCGAAAGGCAAAATTAGTAAACGAACACGGGCAAGTGCTGACACGTGTGGTGAGTATCGACGGTGAACAGGAACAACTGACTAAAGAACAGCTTATGAAAAAGGAGGCGTCCCTGCCACAAGGCTTCACTCTTAGGAAAGTATCCACAGACCCGCTCGTATTCCGAGTCGTTCCGAAAACCGACAAATCCGCAGGTGGGAACCAGCCAGGCGCTGCTAAGAAGCTTGCACCACCACCACCACCTACCAAAAAGCGCAGAAAACCGGAGAAGGGCGTCAACGAACGCGGCAAGAAAGACGGCGAGATCAAGTGCTCCGTTAAGATATCCGAGCACGATCTGTTTGTGAAGGTGAAGAATGCGCTGCGCATGGTGAAGAAAGGGAGTGATGTGAAGTTTTCGGTGGAGTTGACGGCCCAGGAGAAGGGAGGCCTGGAGAGCCAAGAAGCTCGCACAGGAGTGCTGGAGAGTGTTATAGAGGGCGTCGAGGGTCTGGCGGAGGCCTCTGCGATGACACACGAGGGCCGGCGGAGCTATGTGATGCTGACTCAGGTGTAAAGACGGGCCGGGTAGACTCTGAGCGTTTGTAGTCGGGGTGTGTGTGGTAATTTAGTTATATTCTGCATTTCAGATTATTCAGTAGATTTAGCTTGTAGTTTTAAAGAACAAGTAGTATATTAGGTTTATCATGTATGCTTACGGATAATAAATATACCGGCACACGCCGATAATTCACACAATAAGAAAACAGAGTGCTTGTCTCTGTATTAGCGTGCGGCATGTGCAAGTTACGGGCGCCAACACGACCATTGACGGATACTGCGGGCATCACAAGCGTTAGTTGTAATGGTCAAGTGCAACGAATGTCGGTAATGCAAGTCTGGTATCTGGATATCTCTCGCTCTACAATGTTTTCATGCTGTTCGGTATTGTAGTTAGTCATCAGTTGTACATTAAAATATTGGATGGTTTCATATGGCGTGGTATAGTGTCTCTCACAGGCGTGCGAGGTAGGATATGTCATCTATACTTTCTTCCCATGTATACGCCGTTGGTATATAATAGAGGACACACACAATAGATACTACCATTTCCATATGGGATAACGAACACTCCGAATTTGTTTTGTGCAATAATTGCATATACAAAAGCGTAGAATATATATATGCTGTTGCTACCTAGTTCCACCAACTCGCGTTCTTAGGCTTGCTGTATTTTCATCTTCATTTTATTCGCAAGTATAGAAGGCCCGGACTCACACCCACAGAGACATAGGCCCATGCCTACTCTTGACTATCACTAGGGCCGTCTATTGTTCTCTCTTTCGCGTATCCCAGGGACTGGGCTTGACTTCACGGGCCTTAAGCGACGCAGATCACGCGCATCCGGCAGCGCATCAATCATAGCCGAACTCATTGACGGCTGGGAATCTGAGTTCGAATGCTTCAGCTTGCCACTCCCATACTTGAGCGCGAGTCCATCGTCGCTGTATCCAAGCACTATCTTTATCTTGCTTGGAGGCGACTCCGAATCAACGGCAAACACCTCCACAGAAGGTGCATTCACTTTGTCAGTCTTGACAGGTTGTTCCGCTTTGCTGCCCTTTTCTTCGGCTGTATTGCCACTCGCGCGTGTCCCAACATTGGACAGCGGCTTCCGCATTGACGGCGACTCGCGCTGTACCAGAGGCGAAGGCAATCGCTTCGAAGTGCTGGCGTTAAGCTCTTTATCTACATCCTCCTCTCGCAGGGCCTGGTTCATACTATTGTTCGCGTGTGGCTGGAACTCGGCGTCGGCGCTGCGTGTTCTATTGCGGGTGAGAGTGGTTGTCAGCCTACCGAGCAGCACCAGAGCCTGCTCCCGATCTTCGGGTGTGAGAGACGTTATATTCCCCTCGAGAGCACCGAGAGCGTCGACAACACTGCCCGACCCTGAGTCCGGAATCTGCTGAGGATGGGGGTACGTTAGTATTACCTCCAGACACAGCCTTGTGTGTGGATGACATTCAGACACAGCCACATATGTGTGGGGCAAATATAGCAGACATGATCCTCGAGAAAACTAAACAAAATCCTCGATGGTTGCCATTTAAAGGTTTTTCATCTACAATTTTATGAATCAACAACAAACAATGAACGGGCCAATGGCCATTATACTAACACAAGGGGCTTCGGACAAGAAAACATGGCAGACAATACCTGCTGTTTGATACTTTGGGCCAAGTCTAGTATCCGCTGACGACGCGACAGGCTGCTCAGCAGGCACAGCAGAAACCACATCGGAGAAGAAATTAAGGATGTGCGGGGGAGAGGTGTGTATGGATGGGAAAGGGATAGGGAAAGAAAGGTAAGTATAGTGAAGAGTGGCAATGAGGTGGGATATACAGAGACAACCCAGTACCATCCCCTGCGAATAATATATCACTCAATACAAGAGTGCCAGAGGAGAGAAGGCCCAAGTATAAATCTCCTGCGTATAATTGAACAATACAACACAAAAAAAAACAAACACCTCACACACAGCCACCGCTTTGAATCCATGACAACAGAAAGAACGGCACATGCATCACAGAATGTGAAATGTACCCAATAGCAGTAGTAAGAATACAGACTCAGCACACAGCAATCGATTCGTACCCATACGCAACAGTATGTATATATACGCAACCAGATCATATGGTAAGAGAACGAGTACATACATATATTCATGACAAACGGCAAACAACAACGTATCCAATAACAACGGCACGGAAACGCACTACAGAATCCAAATAGTGTCCAATAATAACACATGTACGTACATAGAACACAGTCAACAAAGTGCAATAATAACACATCTACGTACATAGAACACACTCAAAAAGCGCAATAATAACACATCTACGTACATAGAACGCATTCAACAAAGCGTAATAATAACACATGTACGTACATAGAACACACTCAACAAAGTGCAATAATAACACATGTACGTACATAGAACGCAGTCAACAAAGCGCAATAATAACACATGTACGTACATAGAACACAGTCAACAAAGCCCAATAATAACACATGTACGTACATAGAATACAGTTAACAAAGCCCAATAATAGCACCTCAAATACGCACATAGAACGCAGTCAACAAAACGTACCCAGGCGACGAAGCCCCATCCGAGGGCATGCTGCTGAGCGATCGTATGTTCCTTCGTCTCACCGATCTCGCATGACTAGGCGATGACGAGTTGGGTATCGATGAATCTGCCTCGCTAGCGTTAGCACTGGGGAAGTAGGTGGTGTGCGTTACAAGTGTGTGGACTTCGGCGTGTATAGTATAGCGTGTAGTGCTTGTCGGGGCATGTAGGTGAGAGGTGAGAAACGTGTTGCCTATGTGAACCAGAATATAGGAGACTCTATTGATCCGCAATTGGCATCTATATCCTACCTCGTAAGATGCTAGGATATCCTGATGTTCTCACACATGTTAATCGCAGCTTCTTGGATGTACATCAATTTGAATGTGTAAAACAAGACAGTGCCAATGCACGACAAGGGAATACAGCACAGGACAGCAACACCAGACAACAGTAAACACAGCATCGACATCACAGCACTACACACGGTCACACAGGTGGCATACAATGTACTCTCATAGTATGACTTCTGCAAATTAACATCACACACACACACACACACATATATATACATATATCGATTGCACTAGTATCCAGAGATATATTTTAGAATACATACTAGTTGAGACACTCAAGAGACACCACTCTCTATCTCCACGAGCAGTACTTAGAGCGCTCTATAGCAGCCTGACTATAGTAGACCCACCTCTTGTCTTCAGCCTGTGAGCTGTGTGCCCGGTTGAGCACAATTGAAGACATCGGTGTTTTGCTTTTACTACGAAAAGCCCCGGGAGTCTGAGCGCACGGGCGAGGCGATAGCGAATAGGCACGGGACCGGTAAGATCTAGGGCTGCATGCACTGCGTGAGTGATGTGGACTGTGAGTGGAGTTGAAAGATTGCTGTATAATAGGTATCGATATGGGTTGGTTTGGCTTGGCTAGGGGAGCGGGTGCGGAATGGTTACCATGAGTGGTCTGAGGTATGCGTATGGCTCATATTGGGGTCACCGCCGATTTGGAGATATGCGGTCGGATGATCGGCACAATACATATGTCGAGAAATAGTTCATGTAAATATGGCATGGCTGAAATATTACTTTCGAACAGTTGTGCGTCTGTGCAGGCCTGGTGAGTAACTGATGGATAAACGACCAGTTTAAACAGAATGACAGGTCAGCGATCGCGTGACGATGGAGAGAGCGGTGCGTGAGATATGCCCACTAGATGAAGCCTGGAGGTGGTATAGACACTGTACCGCCACGGGAAGGAACTGTCGACAGTCCATCTGGAACCAAATGTCTAGTAAATCGAGACGCAGTTGCCGTACCCACCAGAACGAGCACAGGTCAAATACACCGTGCGTGCAGGGTGATGTAGGCCCACGTACTGAGTTTATACCTACGCCGGGGCTATTGCGGGATGGTATGTTTGCACAGGAGAGGCTTTGGATGTGATGGAAGTGAGTATGGGCATGTGGCTTCTTATACTCGCGACAATTTACCTCCACGGGCTTAGACTTGCGACATTTGACTACCACAGAGAGACCGAACTTCTTGTTTTTGACTCCGACGTAAGCGCAGTCGTGTGCTTGTGGAATGTGTACTGAGACGAAAGATGGAGGCTTGGACCAAACAAAGCAACGAGCAGACCACTACAAATAGAATGAGGTCAATACGCCAAACCCCATACGTAGAACACCTTAGTACTCTAAATCCACTACAGTGCACACAATATTAACAACTTACGGCCTGTGCAACTCTGTCGAATCAATGATCCCGGCCCGGGCTAGCATGTTATCCTTATCCTCGATAGAATAGCTGTCTTGCCTCCTGGGACTCTCGAGCCGGTAACTGCGTACACTGCCCTGCACGTCGGATTGGCCCACAACATGCGCAATTATACAGAAGAGTGAAGCACGATGAGCGACAGAAACCATTGCGAGCACACTACACACAAGCTCTAATGTTGTATATAAGACATGCCAATACGCATGGCCGTTTGGCTGCAGTATGTAATCACATCTGACCCAGATATAGGAACGGAGAGCCCATCAATTTACCGATGGACGCGAGAGGGAAAATCGACTCATTCTCTCTGAACACAAGCAGTAGTGTGTACAACTAGGTCTCAGCAATTAGGAAAGGCTTTGTATATACCCTGATCTATTGAAATACAAAATGAAGGACCTTGTATAGACACAATCAAGAGCAATGAAGAAGTATATAAGTTGGCACCAATTCATTGCAATCGATACAGATTGAAATATCAGGTACGCATATGATCTTGAGCATATCATGGTTTCTCTGAGTACAAACTCTTGCATTTTTCGAGTCTTCCGAGTACATGAATTGTACGTGTTATCGCTTTACACTCAAATAATCGTGCATGTACGCATAAGCATCACCATACCAGCAACAATCCATTTCACATATCGTGTAGACTGGCTGACTGACGCGTGCCTTGGTATCTGAGTTCAAAGCGATCTTCACGCACTAAACATTTACCATCTGACCCAAATACAACTCAAGCCCATTGGCTCGCAAACCGGCCAACTTACCCTTGAATCGGCATCGGAGCTTAGGCCGTCGTCCTGCACAGGCGCAGAGGTCACAACGATGCTCTCCTGCGGAGACCAGTCCGCGCTAGTGTGCCGAAGGCCCAAACGATTCGAAGCTGAAGACGTGCGCTTTATCGGCGGCGGGGTAGGCTCATGTGTTTGGATACTAATAGTACTGTGGCTTCTACCACCGGTTGCTGCTCTGTGGTTCCACAGCACACTGTCTTTTGACACGCGCGGGCCCGGCCCTGGTACTGGCGATGAATCGCACCCAGAACTAGGGCCATCTAGACTAGCAAAGCCGCTAAAGCCGGCCTTCGGTGCTCCTTTGGCGAGATGGTGGGAGCTGGTCAGGCTGTCCGCACTTAAAGCCGTGAAGTAGCCCCTCCCGCTCGTAGAGCCATCGCTGGGGTGAAGCCCAGGACTAAATGCAGCATGAAGGCCGCCCGGCTTCTTTGGCAAGTGACCCCGGGGCGACACATTGGATGTCCCAAAACCAGAGCTTCGGTGCGTGCTGCCCAGAAGGTCGGTTGCCAGCCCGCCACTCTTGGTGCGATGTGCATGGACCGGCCGTGAGCGAGTGGTCAGAGGACTCGTATTCGGACTCGGCTGCAGCCGGTCCATACTGATGGCGCGGGTGCGCATCCCCCGCTTGCTAAATTCGTGTAGGTGTGTGGGTGGCGGTGTCTGTTGGTGTGGTTGCGCCTGAGCCTGTTCTTGTTCGAGTGCTTGTGCCAGCTTCAGTTTCTGCAACGGCTGTTGTGCCTGCGGTTCACCGGACTGCATCGTTAGAACCGGTGGTGTGTTAACTACTCTCCTATCACCCTCCACCCCCCCCCTTCACTCGCCATTACTTCAGAGTCGTCAGTGCTTGGCGCACCCACTGTTCGTGTTTGCTGTACAGTCAACTGATTCTGTACCTGTCGCGAGGGGCCCTGCACTCTCGGCAAAGATAGAGTTTGCACGGGCCTTCCAGAGAGCCTAGGGGACATTGGAGCGGGTTTACTTGTCATAGCAGACTTGCGCTTAGCCATAGCGGTCATACTCAACGGAGACGAGATACCTGCGTGCAGAGGCGATAGATTGTGTGTGGAACCTTCGCTGTTGTGACTGCTGCAGCTTTCTCCGCGTGTGCGGTGGTTCTTCTTCTGGAAGATCATGGCTGCCGCATGCTCGGCCGCCGTTGTGAGCCAGTTGAGATTAAGATGCGGAGGTGTATCCGTAGGTCGAGTTGGGCTTTGGACTGTATTGGGCGAGCTTAGCTCAAGAGTAGTTGGTTGTGCATATGTGCCCTGGTGTGTAATAGGCGCAGAAGGCTGCGTCTTTTGAGCCTGATGTGTATTGGGTATGCTAGGTTCAAGTGTGTTTGAGTGAGCGTATGTCTCCTGATCTGTGCTCGGTGTGGAGAGCTCGTTAGCATCCATGTGTGACGGTGTGTTCGGCCGGGATCCCATTCCCACCGAATCATGAAAGCTGCTGTTGTTTGCGGCCTCGAGCCTTCTCAGATTCTCCGGCGATAGTGAGCTTCTGGTCAGCGACGCATTCTCCAAGTGCTCATTGCGTGTCTGTCCATATATATTCTCGTCAGTAGTTGAGGTTTTCTCGTCCACCATGTCGCCGGCGCTGGCGAACGCGGTCTCCCCGCCAAAGGGCTCGGGTTGATGCAGCTCATGTGCATCATATATATATTCGGACTCGTCGTCTTCCTCGCTAGTGGGGTCCATAGGCTGGTATGGGGACTGGGTGAAATTTCTGTTGTCCAACCCGCTGGCCAAATACGGAAGGCTAGCTGGGGTTCTTAGGGGCGAATCTGGGAACTGTAACGACGGCCTTGGACTGTATGATATGTTATAATGTGTCGTTCGAGAGATGTGAGGGGTGGTAGTGGATACCGAGTGTTTATTCGGATAAGAATATGACAACGGCGAGCGCTAGTTGTAATACCAGTATTCCAAGATTCAAGGAATAAGGAGCGGCCTCAGAAGAAATTCACATTTAGAATTCTTATTAACGAGCAGTAATTGAATGCTCGCACCCACCGCCTAGCAGAATACATGACAACGATAACAAGCCATCCACAAGATTTAATGAACAAGACGGTTTGAGAGCCCCACAGACAGGGAGACCGAACATACGTCGTAGGCTGTCCATTGTGCACCGTCATTCTCCTACCATCCGGAAAACCGATGTTGGGACTGAGGGAGTGGCAAGGAGAGAGGGTTGAAAAGGTGGTGCAGGCCTTGTTTAGAGCGCGCATGGACACATCTGAGTCCGGGCGTAGCCGTAACTACCACATCGAAGCTTTATCAACATCGTCAAGTACATCACAAGATTGTAACTATTCTTGAAAGATTATGTCAGACACTTAGTGGAATAAAATGTATATTGGACACAGATACCCAGCTACGAATCGCAAACACACGAATACGGTTGACATACACACTATTCGACGGAGGCTCTCCGAACAAGCGCCGGTAGATCTGTGAAGCACTGTCGGCCGCTTCCTTCATGTGTGCGGTACTGATGCGGATGAAACATGTGGCACAATAGATTCGTGAATAGATGGAATAAGATGTGAGATATAGAACATAGGATCTCAGCTATCGAGGCAAAGTCGTAGAGTCGAGTCCACGATATTCCATAGTGGATCGTTTTGTTATGCAACTGCGACGAATGCGTAAAAAGCGTTCCGAGCGGAAAATCAAATATTCCAACGAGGGACAAAACACCTTGAGGCCAATCACTACACCACTCTGCTCTGTCATGATCCGACGAGTCAAAATTGGAATCGGCGCCGCCAAAATTGAACAGATTGTGGTTCTATTTTAACGACATTGTCGCTGGTACCAAAACACACCTGGTGGCTCTCAAGCGCTGTCGGGCGACGTGGCTAATCTCGTGAGCATCGTCCGGGAATTCGGTAAGCAATTCGTCCAGATTTGATTTGTTGAGGACAAACAGATCTGTATGGAAACACACAAGCAGCAACCACTTCAGACATAGTGCAGTTCATCTGGGTAAACCGACAACACGCTGTGTGAGGTTAATGTCGCGAAACATCTGCGGAGAGAGTGTGACAATAAAACGATGTCCGTAGAGAGATACAGACACGCTTAAAGTCCGAATAGTAAGTAACACAATAACTCCCCGTAAAAGTATGATAAAAGCACGTTGGCTCCGCTATACATACACACACACCACCGAAGGGCAGTTCAAACCCCGAGGCAAGTCACTGTAAGATCCGTCCACTGGTGCTATAGGCTGCAGGAATATGAAAAGACACCGTGGCGGGTATGATCAACACACACCACAGAGCTGAACACATGCAATACAACCAGATGGATATAAACATACACAAATAACTCAAAAAGACACGGCAACGACTAAGGCTACTTCCCAAGAAGCCGCCTATATGCACTGCAAATTGAATACATGAACGAGGCGATGTGCTTGACACCCACACCCACACACCACAGAAGGAGACAGCAACAACTGAGGCTACTCGCCGCGAGGTGTGAGAGACCACAGCAATCTCTCCGAAGAAGTCTCCAGGGCCGAGCTCTACCACCGAAGCTCCGACTCTGTTCACGACCTGTTGGGAGGAGTGCGGTGGATGATCAACATGGGGACTGTTCAAAACTTTAATAGGCGAGAAATAAATGAAACATGTGATCGGAGACTGGGTTAAAGGGGGAGTATGACGGGGAGATATTACCATGAGACCAGGGTAGAAGTTTGTGAGGAATGGCAAGGCAGTTCAGTTTAGATATGGACGTGGCTGAGGTAACGCATGTGGAGAGAGCAAGATGGCGAGAAACATCAGACCACAAAATAATGGAAAGACGGTCGACAGAAGTCAGTACAATGAACATCAAAACAGAACTAGCTACAATTAGCGCCTGATTCTCATGCTGAGTTGAAACGGAAATATAGTAATCATTACGAAGACCGAAAAGAACAGAAGTATCGCAAAGATAAAGATAAAATCCAAGTATGCTCATGCCATTCTCAGATGCATGATTATCTCAGTCTATACACCGTGCTTACTAAAGCATGTACAAATATACATAGATATAAATTACCACATCGCACCTTCACTTTCCCTTTGCTGATGAAGAACATCTCTTTGCCCGGCTCATCAATGCGCACAACGAAGTCGCCGGGTGAATATATCTGAGGCCTGAGATGCGTTACCTGTCATAGGAAAGGTACAATACGAAAACGTTATTCCACGAGCCCTTCTAAGTACTGACGAGGCGAGCTTGATTCTAGAACGAAGTTTCTGGAAATGGCTTCATTGCAGAAGCCCTACTAAACAGGTTTTGCAATTTTGGCGATCACAAGCAACCTTTACCATACCCAACACGCTTATACAACCACTACAGTCCAAACAAGAAACGTACCTACCCATCGATATAGGGACATGGACTGTTGACAAGCACGCCACTAATGCATTCGACACAACCCAAGCGCACTGAACATACCATCTGGTCGATAAAGGGTTTTGAACTGTTGGCAAACATGGGCACCTTCAACACCACATCGTGGCACAGATGGCGGTAAATCTCCGTGCGCAAATGCGACGGGAAATCTTTCAGGATGGTCTCATCTTCGTATCCGCGTTGTCTCGAGTGCAGAAACTCAAAGTATTGCCTAATAAAGGAACCATACAGTATAAAGCAAAGTCAGCACGTGTGAGCGCACGTGCTTCCGTGCAGTGACACCAAGGTGGCTCTCAAACAAGAAGAGAAAACCACTCCAACACGCAAGGGTAACATTCGTAACATTCCCCTCTGGCGCTCATTCACTGGCCTTGCTATATGGCTACTCGCCACCGTGGCCCGAATGTGTTGGTCTATCTAAACCTTCTTATATTTGTGTGCGTTATGCATATGAATGAGTGCTCGCGCAATATGGGATATATTCGCCTGCTATGACCCAGGTCATCTGCATGTCTGCACCAAATGGCTGGTCTCTAGCTTTGCTGAGTACACAGACTAATGTTGGCGTGAATCCTTTATATATACCCACACAAGAACAGTACCAGTCGAAAAAGCGCGGTAAGAATTGGCGGCTATCACACAGCTATTCTCCAGACGGTACGACGAAAGTGTTCGTTAAGACAACACAAGCACTCGGGATACATCAAAGCCTGGTGAAACGGGGGTACCACAGTACCCTAGCGAATAACTAAACATGCAGCAGGTAGCCGGGATACTTGCCTGGCTCGCTGTTGAATGGTGTGTGGTATGCGTCGGTATGACATGTAGTTGTTGATGCGCTCCATGGCCTGCCGGTACTTCTCAGCGGAGTGGTTGGACGATTTGATGATCTTGCCCATGTTGCCTATGATGACGGCGTAGATGCTTATGCTGCTCGGGGGCGAGTGAGATTGTACGTAGAGCGAAGGACTGGTTAATAGAGCCATCCAAATAATAAGTCATGGACCAATTACACTGGATAGCATATTTGACTAGAGTGATTTGGGGGTTGCTTATAGTGCCTTATATGGCGGCGTGCCGGCGTCTTATATGGCGGCGTGCATACTAGTGCTAAAAGTGGTAGAAGATATTGATTTTTAATATTGAAATTATCGAAATTACTCTGGTTTTAGAACTAAAGACTGTTCTACCGAAATGACTTTACGATGTTGCCAACGTTGCCTGCAATGGCGGAGAATA